TTTTTGAATTGAGAATCGCACATATATTAATAAGAAATGAGTTGTCATTGTGTATCAATAATCGAGCAAAATATCGAGAAAACCGAAGACTGTGCACCAGGTCACATGACTTCACAATTCATCTGCATATACTGACAACTCTCTCCACGATTTGACTACTCAATGTTTGAAAAAATGAAGCTTATGTAGGCAATGTTGTGTTTCAGTTAGCTATGCATCATTCGTTGTTATGACCTACTATTTCTATCAGCATCATTAGAACGGGTTCCAATTCTAGTTTCTATACTAAGAGAATCGTCAATTTCAAGTTTCTACACAATTCCAATTGGGTTTTAAACTTACTCCCCCAACTGGACCAACCACTTGGGTTTGAGCTTGTTTGTCCAGGACCCGAAGTTTAGTTTTCTGTCAACCCCCCATTCCTTACCAGAGTCATCATTTGTACTAGACTTACAAGAATTGGAAGGCGACTCTTTCTTCTTTCCTGATGGAGATTGAAATTCTTTACGTAGAGGACTCTTATTTGACGAGGCCCAGTTACGGGAAACTTTTCACCGACCTACCTGTTCTGTTTTATGTGTTATTGAAGGCGGTAGTTCGTTTCACCGAGTTTTGTTTTCTGTCAACCCTCATTCATTACCAGAGTCATCATTTTTACTGGACTTTCAGGAATTGGAAGGTGACTCTTTCTTCTTTCCTGATGGAGATTGAAATTCTTTGTAAATTGATCCCTATTTCAGCAGCCCCAGTTAAGGGAAGCTTTTCACCGAGCTACCTATTCTGTTTTAGGTGTTTTAAGTATTCACATAATTCAACATACATTAATCCATTCATTAATCCAGAATTGAGAATCGCACATATATTAATAAGAAATGAGTTGTCAGTGTAATAAAAAAGTCGAGCAAAAAATTGAGAAAACCAAAGTGTGTACACCAAGTCATATGACCTGACAGTCCATCTGCATATACCCACAAAATAAGGGCATGCTCACTGTAGGGTAAATCAGTGAATTCACTGTTGCCATGTGACTTTCTGAATTGAGAATCACACATATATCAAATTGGTGTTCAGGTAAACCAATTGCGTTTTAAATTGCTTACTAGAGTCATCATTTTGACTGGACTTCCAGGAATTGAAAGGCGACTCTTTCTTCTTTCTCCATGGAGATTGAAATTTTTTACGTACATGATGTCTATTTCACGAGCCCAGTTAAGGGAAGCTTTTCACCGAGCTACCTGTTCTGTTTTATGTGTTTTAAGTATTCACATAATTCA